ACAGGTAGCCAGTGCAGTGCAGATAAAAAAGTTATTAAAAAAGAGTTACCGGCTCACACTGGCGGTAGACGGAAGCGGGAAGACTGAGACTAAGAGACACCATAATAAAGTGAATAACAATTATTCTAGACAAGATGTTACAATAGCATGAATCACAGTTTGGAAGTATCTCAGAATAAAAAGGGTTTCACTATAGATGGTTAGCAAAGATGAAAAAAGCATCAGTACTGAAACAGTACTGATCTGTTTATCACATTTTTGGTTGTGATCAAGCAGAACGCCCAGATTTCTAGTGCAACGCGATTCAAATTGGGCAATAGAACCACAGTCAACATTCACTACACAGAAGCAAGTAATAATTAGTGCAAAATAATGAAATCATATGAGTTATGAGTATATAATTAAAAGAAAGAAAAAAATACAACCCAAAAAATATTTTCTTCAAAAATGATTCCACCATCTAAATCAGGGATGAGCTGATTCCAATTACACTCTTCTGGATGAATAATGTATAGAGATCTTACCATCTCAGCAAACTCTACAGATGAGAAGAAGGGGCAGCCCTACATTATCCTCCTCATAAATCCATCACTTCATGCCTTTCTGTCTCAGTCTATATCATTGTCAGTCTCTCTTCATTTCCCTTTTTAGCTTTTTAAAAGAATAATGATTATTATTGTCTGCTTTGAAACTTTTCACGTCTGTCTTCCTGCCTCCCCCCAGCTCTTTATATCATATGTGCTCTGCCTGAAAATATATTTTCAATTGCTTTGGTCTCCCTCTCCATTCTCACGACAAAGAGATATTCTTTCATGTATTTTGCGAGCTTGTTTGCCTTTTGTGTTACTGTGAAACTCTTGCATACATCAGACAGGTCATTGGCAGGGCTTCTAAAGATAAATCTCATGAAAAGTATAATATTTACTGAATGGTTTTGAGATTATTTGAGATAAAAAAAATCACGCCCTTTCATACATAACATGCATAATGGAAATTCACAGAAGTTGAGTTCCCATGAATGTTTCAGGAGAACCATCGGAGAGCTCTCTGGTGGAAACTTCACACTGTCACAAAGGAGAAGAATCGTGATCAATCATTCATTCATCTCTCAGACATGCCAACCAAAGAAAAGCACTGCAATTCCACAGTCACCAAGGACTACAACTCACATCTCTCTCTCTGAAAACTATTTGTTGTCTTAGAGATAATAATACAACTCGTTTTAATTCTATATTTACCAAGCCAAAATATAAGTGAACATGCTTCAGCCAAACATGGATATATCTTCTCATCCATTTCTGACTGCTAGACTAAAAAATGGAAACTCAAAAAGTTAAATCATAATGTATGCATCAGACCAAAAAGTTGTGTTTAAGTTGTTAATGAATGTTTATTTCTAATTTAGTTTAGGATAACACCGCTTAGAGGGATACATGTGTGTGTGTAAGGAGTATCAACCCACACTCACTATTGTATACCAGTAAGTGTTTTGAAAACCTTTTTCATGTAAAATAATTTACAGACAAAGCATTATGAAATCGTTAACTTACGGTTTGTGATGTAGCTGCGGTCAGATCCAATAAGCTACAGCTACAGATTTAAGTGCATGGTCAAAAACTGAACATGCATCAGTATAATGTATCCGGTGTAGACAGCGTCGGTGATTATATGGGTTCTATTAACTTTTGACGGGTGACACAATGCTTGCATCCAGTATAGACAAGCGCCGGTCGATAAGGGTCTGAATGTCAGCGGGCGGGTCGGGGCCTATGTCGTTATGATGTAAAACTGTTCGTTGATATCTTGCTATAGGCAGTCATATCCAAATGTCTGCCTGTGTGACATCACAAATACCTCAGTATCTAAGCAAGCCATTTTTGGAGCATAACAAAATAAAAGCTTTGTTTATGAGGAGGATATTTTACTTTTAAGCAATGAAACTTGTAGGATGTTTTAATGGTAAAAAAGACCTCTTAAATGTCTTAAGATTAAAGGGGACATATCATGCAAAATCCACTTTTTTAGCCCTTAAATGCATTTTGTTGTATATTTGGAGTGTTTATAAGTACAGAAAAGATTAAATTATTCTCTTCAGGTGCTTCGTTTATATCTTTATATTCTGTTTTGGTCATATTTTTCAACCTGTTCAGATTTTTCTGTTTTCTATGACGTTTTTTGAACTACAACGTCACCGTATTTGCAGCGGAACTGCCAAATGAGGACATTGACTACCGGTCCAAAACTTCGAGCAATCCGCCATTATTATCTCTCGCTCCGATTTTGTAGTCCGAGCTCAATGATGCAGAAGTTACGAGGGGGGAAAGTCAAAATGTTCGGTTTTTGGATGTAGTGACCTGAAGCACTTCAAGGATTCCCACTTCAACAACCTCCGCCAGTATAAAGAAGGGTTTGAAGATCGACTTCGTCTGAATGAGAGGTAAATTCCTTCTATCTTTGGAGACGACGAACAGAGCATTTCCATAAGCTGTAAATATCGTTAATAAAAATAAAGTACTTTACTTTCTTAAAACACATGGTGGTCATGGTTTAGCAGTACCTTTGTCTTTCTTTGTTTTTGTTATGAAGTAACGTTACACGTCTGCAGTATTATTGTTCTTGAGTTTCATCAATGGTCATTTAGCTGCTTTGCTGATGCTTTTCTAAACGTATCATATTATCAATACAGATTGTTTGTGGTAAGATTAGACCGTAGTCATTTATCTTGTCAGTGTGCTTGTTTTAACAAGAGAAATAGTCGACTTTCACTAATAACACAAAACAGTTAACTCTCATACATATGAAGAGGTTGTTCTGCAGGTTCGTCTTCGTCCTTATCAACTCGCTCGCTCTGGCTCGAATATGTAAGGCTTGATGGACAAGTCTTCTGTTGTTGACATTTTATTAACGTGTGAATAAAAATGTTCTTTGAAGGTATCATATATAATCGTATATCTCTAATCAAACTACAATAATGGCCGAACGTGGGGAGTTGAACTGACCGTGAACTCATCGACCTGGAGAGCAGGCGGGGTATGACGCATCTCCTTTTTATTTAAAGGGGCCGCTTTGAAATGGGTCGCTCAAAGACGCACATCAGAAAAGGGGTAGAAAAGGGGCCTGTGGAGCTATAATAATGAGGAATTCAGACCCAAGCATTGCAGTTATGTTTTATATAGACCAAAAAGGTATGATTTATATGTAAAAATGAATGATTTAAAAGCATGATATGTACCCTTTAAGGTAAATTTGATTTCTCACTTCACGAGAAGATAAAACCAGAGAAAATTCACGAAAACAAAGCAGACAAACGTACTTAAATCCCTCAGCCAATTAGTTCCTTAAAAGAAGAAGAAAAAAAGAATTCAGTCTAATTAAAATATTCTATTTTACCCAGCATTTGCACATTCTATGCTTTATTGCCTATTAGAAGATCACACAGTTATTTAAGCAACATAATAAAATCAAACTCTGTTGAAATCAATTGCAAGTCGAGTCTCCAGTTTGCCACAACAGAAGGTTGTTTTTTACCCACCTGAGATATTGATATTGCCATGATCACTCTACTTTTACACAAACACATATACCTATTCACAGATCCTTTAACATGAATAATTCTCTGGGTTTATCGGGCAGGTTGATCTGTGCCTGTCAAAAAGCGGTGCCCGGCGCTTGCTCAAAGTGGATTACCCAGGTGAAGAACTGATTGGCTGAGGGATTTAAGGATGTTTGTGTGCTTCGTTTCTGTTTATTTTCTCTGGTTTTATCTACTCAGGGTCAGAGTAATACCTTTAGCAAGGTCTCCAAACTCCATAATCTCCTCGAAGATATACTGCCAACACAAGGTCAAAACTCACATACAAAACCCTGGGGATGGGATGCATTTAAATGAGAAAATCCACAGACTGACAGAATGGATCATGCTTTCATTGGTAAAAAGTTATTCGATGATAAGACAACTGAAGTCCATTTATAACGTCAGTCAAAGTTTCATAGTCATAATGGTGTCATAATATTTGAAGAGTTCAGATGCAAAAGCCTCTAAGTGCCATTTGAAATTTTCTTCTAGAATGATCATTTTTATCAAGCTTGTATATTTAAGTTCAGTGATTTCAACTCAATGGCAATGATAATTACCTATTAATTGTTATTTAAGTGAAATTACTGAACTTAAATATACAAGTTTGATAAAAATCATCATTAAAGAAGAAAATTTCAAATGGCATTTAGAGGCTTTTGCATCTGAACTCTTCATCTGTTCCCTTTAAAGTTAAACATCCTGAATTTTCTACTCTGAAAGTTCTAAAGCATTTTCTACAAGACAAGTAGTGCACAGTGCATTTCATTTATGAACAGGATGGAGCTGATGTAAATGTAGTCAGTTATCTGCTAATATGCTTCTGGTTGAAATGCATAGCTGTCAACCCTCCCGTTTTTTTCGGGTTTCTCACGTATTTTTACTCTTTTCCCGCTGTCTTCCCGTTTTAGTATTTTCCCGTAAAATATCCCGTATTTTTACTCTGATTGTGTGAGACATACGAGCTCGGACTGATTCGGCTTGAAGTCGTTTATTCTCAGATGCGGCGCCGCGCGCGCTGGCCGGAGACACACTGGCTGTGTGGCTGTGTCCGTTTTTATTTCGGCTCCCATGTTAACAGATTAGAGCTTGCACACTCCAGAAAACGCGTGCATGCTAGAAATAGAACTGGCGCCTATTTTTTCACGCGACACGCAAGCGTGTTGAAAGTACGGAAGCCCTGAACCGCAACCTAAAAAAAAAAAAAAAGTCAGTAAAAAAAAAAAAATCTGTAAAAAAAAAAAAAAATCTGTAAAAAAAAAAAAAATCAGTAAAAAAAAAAAAAAAATCTAGTATTTCGAGATTAAAGTCGAAATGTTTCGAGATTAAAGTCGAAATGTTTTGAGATTAAAGTCGAAATGTTTCGAGATTAAAGTCGGAATGTTTCGAGATTAAAGTCGAAATGTTTCGAGATTAAAGTCGAAATGTTTCGAGATTAAAGTCGAAATGTTTCGAGATTAAAGTCAAAACATTTTGAGATTAAAGTCGAAACATTTCGAGAAGTCGAAACACTAGTAAAGAACTGCGCTCAGTCGAACTTCTGACATGGATCTAAACATATTGGTAGCGTTTTACTTTTATCTGGGATTTCAGCAAAAGGAAATTCTACAGGTGCTCATCTATCAACATGGCATTACAATTTGTCTCAGGACTTTACAAAATATACTGCGCCGGAATAGACTTTACAGGCGAAAACACTTTTCAGACTGGATGGAGGTAGCCAGCTTTATATCTGATGAAATCGCGGGATCCGGACAAATGATTGGATACAGGATGATGCACTTAAAATGTATCCAGAATGGATTTACGGTGAAGAGGGAAACAGTAAGGTTACTTTTAAGTGTTCTCGACCCAGATGGCGTTGCCTATCGGCGAGCTCGAAGACTCCGCCGAAGGAGGTACCACAATCCTGGTCCAAACTTCATGTGGCACGTTGACTCGTACGATAAACTTAAACCGTACGGCCTCTGTATTAATGGATGTGTTGATGGATTCTCACGTAATGTCATGTGGTTGAAAGTGTATTTCACCAATAATGACCCAAAAGTCATTGCATCGTATTTTATTGAGACTGTAAAGAATAGAGATGGTTGTCCTAGAAGAATTCGTTCTGATCATGGCACTGAAAACGTTGCGATGGAGCAGATGCAGATCTTTCTTCGACGAGATGCTACTGATGAATTTGCTTTTCATCGGAGTTTCTTATACGGTTCAAGCAATCATAATCAAAGAATCGAAAGCTTTTGGAGCATACTTCGGAAAGAGAACATTCAGTTTTGGATGAACTTTTTTCAGGCTTTAAAAGAAGAAGACTATTTCAGTGGGGACTTCCTTGACAAATCAATCGTGCAGTTTTGCTTTACAACACTTGTACAGGTAAGAAATCATATCTCTATTTGTCTATCCACATATTTGACTTGAAAGTGGCGTGTTTGTTTACAAAAGTCATGATGTCATGTTGCTATTTGCTAAAATAGCTCAAATACTAGCAAGACTACCATTTCACAAGTAAACAACACTGGTCCAGAAGCACTTCCTGTTTCAGTTTGTAACTGTTTTCTTTATTACACATGTAAAGAAAACATCTTAAAGATGTTTGTTTAACTTTTTGATTCAGTTTTAAATGTTCTGTTGGTTGTATTTTATCCCAGCTTTTATGTAGTGTTAAAAAACTGAAACAGGAAGTGCTTCTGGACCAGTGTTGTTTACATCTTGTGAAATGGTCTATATGGGCCTATAGTAGGCTAGCTAATATAATGTAATACAGAGAGGACATTGTTGTAGAACATGCACTTTAATAGAATAGGGGATATATATATATATATATATATATATATATATGAAGAGTTCAGATGCAAAAGCCTCTAAATGCCATTTGAATTTTTCTTCTTTAATGATGATTTTTATCAAACTTGTATATTTAAGTTCAGTAATTGCACTTAAATAATTGCCATTTAAGTGAAATTACTGAACTTAAATATACAAGTTTGATAAAAATCATCATTAAAGAAGCAAAATTCAAATGGCATTTAGAGGCTTTTGCATCTGAACTCTTCATATATATATATATGTATGTATGTATACACACACACACACACACACACACACACTAAAAGCTGTCATTTTTAATGAGATTTTAATGGAGGATTTGTTGTGCCTTTGTCATTTAAGGATGAACTTGACAGATTTGTGCAGATGTGGAATGCACACAGAATCCGAGCGCAACGGAACATTACGGCACCTCATGGGCGTCCATCCATAATGTATATGGCTCCTCATCTTTATGGATCAGACGACTATCTTTTCCAGTGCAATTCTTTGGATGTTCAGAACTGCCAGGAGGAGTGTCACATGCTGACGTACCCATGTGATGAGACAGTGTTCGAACTTTGTTGCCTGTTAATGGAGGAACTTCATCTTCTTCCTCCAGAGGATGCTGAGGAGGGCAGAAACCTGTACATTATACTTAGACGGGAGATACTAAATTTGATGTAACACACACACACACACACACACACACACACACATAGATCCCTGTGACAAGCCTGTTTTGTGTTCTGTGCACTTATGAAATAAAAGGGATTAACTGCTCATCTGGACCCATAGCATGCAGATGAACTGTACACACAGTTAAGAATTGAGCTACTAGAGAAAATGTTGAAAGAAAAACTTTTAATATTGGTTTTACAATGAAAAAAAAAAGATAATTAAATTTGAACCCAGATCAGACTGTATTGCAGAACTGTAATGCTGCTACAGTATATTGTATTATTTTTGAGCTATAAGTGTAATAAACTTTTTTATATATATATAAAACACAGTTGTGATGTATGCTTGAACAAACAGGAAATTACAGTACACCAACCAGACCAGTAACCAACAGTAACTGTTATCAAAATAAACTAGTAGTGCATTACTAGAGGCAATACATGCAAAATACTTAAGAAACATACCAACTTTTTGTGACTTTAGCTTATTCACCGTATCCCCCAGTTAAATAAGTCCATACATACATACTTTTCATCTCCGTGCGTGCCATAACTTTGTCTGACCCACCCACCACTAGCCTAGCTTAGCACAAAGAATGGAAGTAAATGGCTTCAGCTAGAATACCGTTCTATGGCACACACGGAGATGAAAAGGGTATGTATGGACTTATCTCTGGGGGATATGGTGAATAAGCTAAAGTCACAAAAAGTCAGTGTGCTTCTTTAATTTACATGCATTTAATTTACATACCTTTTTGAAATGTGGTTTAACTCTGTTGCTACTTAAACATTAAATATTACTTAAACATTCTACAACATTCAATATGAATATAAATCCTTATGTGAACATGTAAACAACATGTACAATGTGAACGTGCAAAGTCTCAACAGCACAATAGTGTTTTCCAGTACATGCTCCAACACTGCTAAACTTGAGTATGAAGCTATTTTTCTTCAGAATTCTACATTCAATGTGTACATTAATTTTAATCAACATAAACTAGAAATGTTAACATAAAATGTTACATAACTACAACGTAAATATAAAATTTAAACACAATACACTGTGTATTTCCACAGGTACCATACTACAAAGTCTCAAATAGTGCTAAAAGAGAGTTCTATACTTTCATATGTTTTCAAGTATGAGCATGCTTTTTCTTCAGATTTCTGCATTTATGGGCATTGAGGTTGTGAGTGTGGACTGATAGTAATGATGTTCTGAGTTTATAAAATGTCCAGCTATACGATGTCCATGACCCAGATGTTACTATCCAGAACACAATTAAATTCAGCACGGAACTGTGGGAAATTGTCATATGAGTCAGAGAGTTCTAGGACCATCCCACAGGTATGTCCAATCGGCCTTCTGGTAAAGTCTGTCTGGACTGTAAACTGTACATGAATTGCCTCAGAAACCACTAAATTGGAACCAGTACAGAATCTCAGAAATTTGCAGAGTTTTTCTTCGTCAATTTCCCTGATGTATCTTTTCAGGTGGTTGGCAACCTCTGCTTGATTTTCTGACATTTGTGCTGGGAACTTCAACAGCCCAGTCACCTTTTTTGGTGTAGGCTTCAGGTCTTTGTATAGCTGTTGAAATTCCTCTTGACTAAGAGAGATCTGGCCTTTTGTGACCTCCCTCCAACAGTCAATAACGAACATTGGTTTCTGTATGAGTTCCTTGTGTGCAATTTCGTCAACAATTCCTGGTAGAGAGGACACTGTGACCCTCTTCCTGCATTCATAAGTGTTCATGATGTCCAGAAGATCATCCATGTCAACAGAGGAAAAGTCATTGAGTGCTTGATTGAGAACATCTCGTTCCTGGCAGCTCACAAAATTAAGGAATGCTGCCTTTAGGTCTGTATATACAGCCCCAAACATCATTTCCTCAAGAAATGGTGGAGCAAGCTTAATAGGAAGGTATTTGCAATCTTTAAACCCTTTAAGAAGGATACGCCCCACAGCCTTCCATTTGTCAGAGCTGAAGTCATGCCTGAGGAAAGGCACTTTTAGAGACGTCCCGACGGTGCAGTGTTCATAGAAATCAGACCAGAAGCTACTGTACACATCACGAAGGACACCCGGACCACTGCCTGCTTCCTCTGAGTTGTTAGGAAGTATACGTCTCACTGTCAAGGACTGGTTGACAATCTTGTGGTCAGAAAATGCCTCCATCAGGTCACTGAAGCTATTTGAGTAGTGTATGGTTACATTTCTGTTCGGCAAAGCATTAGGAGCACTCTGTGGTGAGTCAAAAGGCTCATGGATCACTGTGTCACTAAGAGAATCTCCATCAATATGGTGTTGTGGACCAAATGTAATCTCGGGGTCACTGCTGATATTGAGTGCAATGCTTGCAAGATGGTCTTGTGAGGAATGTATGCTTGTCTCTTCATCAGAAACCAAGAACACATCAGGAAAGATGTCTTGAAACTCATTCTCTAGTTGCTCATAGTTGTGAGTCTCCATGTCATCACCTTTTGTCGAATCTGAATCTGAGATATCACTAGCATGGTCAGGTTCATCACTAGATTCACTAGACTCTTCAGTCAGGTTAATTTTTGGATGAGTCGCTATATAGAAACGCAACATTGGGAGTTTGACAGTATTGTAAATTGTTCCGACGGAGAGATCCTTGGGGAGAAGATTTTGCTTGAAGTCCCAAACTTCAAATTCAAAATCAGACTCTTGACCTTTGGTGGAAACTCCATTGTGAAAGAATAATGCCTTTCCTTCTTTTAGAATCTCATCATATCCTGCCAGAACATTTATCTTTAGTTTTCTAGTCCCCCCACCTTGCCTTGCTCTAACCTGTTTTATCCCATTTTTTTCTTCGTGAAGCCATCCAATTTCAATATTTCGCATGCATGGTTTTACTTTGCTGCTTGTTTTTTTGTTTGAGGTTTGTGGCACCTCCTTATCTTTATTTTCCTCCCTTCTAAGCTTCATTTTATCTCTTAATTTCTCCAAGAGACCTTGCTTTCGCTTCACAGATGGTGTCTGCTGCCTGCAAAAATGTATCAGGGCAATCCTGTCACCATTTAAGGGAAGGTACTTTGCAAGTTCCGAATCTTCCATAACCAGGATGACTTCTCTGTCAATCTGTGAAAGCAAAGGGACACAAGAAAATCATACTGCTTCATAACAGCTAAAAGAACATGTAATTATTATGGCGCTTTTCCACTACACAGTACCAGCTCGACTCGGCTCGCCTTTGTTTGGTTTTCCACTGTGTAAAAAGTTGTACCTGTTCCTGATTTCAGATACCTTTTTTGTATCACCTCCGGTGAGGTTCTGAGCGAGCTAAGGCGAGCTGAGTCGGTACTAAAATGTGACGTGAGGGCAGCGAGGAGCGAAAGGCGTCGCTATGACGGCCGGGTATTATTTGTGGCGGTACTGCAATTCAACTGCAATTGAAAACGGAGCGAAAAGCGAGTCGAGCCGAGCTGAATCAAGTCTAGTCGAGCCAAGCTGGTACTGATAATGGAAAAATGCAATTAAAGAAGAGAACTGAATGTAAAATTTGGTCACTCATATTAGACACAGTGTAGGTATGTTTAAAATGGATATTACAAAAATTCTGAATGTAATGTTATTATTTTCATGACAGGAACTGGTCTTTTAACATAATGATAAAATTAAAATACTTTTTAATAAATATTTGTGTTCTAATCGGGGGGGTTGCCACAATGGACCGAATGGCATCGGTGGCATCTTTTTCTGTTGCCTTAACTGAACTACAACTCAAATAGAGTGCCGAAGTTACGACGTCACTTTGTAGGCCAAAACACGGAAGTGAGTTAGCATTTTAGCAGTACGGTTCCCTCGCTCTAAAGCCTATGGGATTTTTGAATGGGTTTTTGCTAAATCGCCTGAAATAAAGTCTGTGGTGAACAAAGCCTCTAAATATTTTCACGTTTTGATCTATGACATAGAACACACAGTTATGTCTGATTGTGTTTTTTAAAATCTTTATATAGGCTTCAAAATGTATAAATTTTGGATGAACTTGTAAAGATTATCTTCATAGACAAAACGTGTAAGGGTCACAACTCTTTCTTAAACACAGATCTTATTTTCCAAAAGTGTATGGGGAAAAGGCATTGCTTCTCGACCGAGGGAACCCATGCGCCGCTAACATCTGAGTTGTCCTACAAAGTGACGTCATCACTTCGGCACTCTATTAACGCATGAGTCAACATCAACGTCATCTTTCTCAGCCACTCCCTCTGTTCGCTGATTGGCCTGGTAAAAAAAATTATCAGAGAAAACTAAAGTACAGGCTTGTCCGACTTGAACCAGCGCTGCACAGACCCAGAGTAGTTCTGAAGGAAATGAAAATAAGGCAGAAGTATGTAGGAGGTCGGAGCCAGGCTTTGAACTTTTCAATTTTATGAAGCAATGTAAGTGCTTTGTGTGCACATAAAACCACCAACATAATTTAACACTTAAATATTAAAGTTCAATGCGTGTTCATCCAAAAACATTTGCTCTAACGTCAACACAACACGCATGCGTCATTAATTATTTATCTTAATACTTAATACTTTCTTTATTTTGTAAATATGGAAAACAAAGCAATCTCGTTACTTCTGAAAAATTTGGTTAATGATGTCTTTTACCTTTCTGGGTCTTTAGATTAGATTTTAGATCCCTCAGTTTCAGAACAGCTAACTAACTATTTAGAAATACATCAGTATATGCACCCCCAACAGTATGGTTTCAGACAGAACCATTCCACTGAATCAGCTATCTGCACATTATTGGAAAATGTAGTGCAGCCGCTTGATAAAGGAAACATCGTGGGTGCAATATTCCTGGACTTAAAGAGGGCATTCGATACAGTAAATCATAGCCTTTCTTATCTCAAAACTGTCATCTTATAACATGTCACACCAGGCATTATCATGGTTCGAGTCATACTTGCAGGGACGAGAACAATGTGTAGTTATCGATCATGTAAAATCTGCCCCATGTAAAATTAAGACCGGAATCCCTCAGGGAACCATACTGGGGCCTATTCTCTTTAGCCTGTATGTGAATGAGCTGCCTGAAGTGTGTCCTGAAGTTGGTCTTCAGATGTATGCGGATGACACTGTGGTTTATGTTTCTGGCAAAAGCCCTACTGTTATCGGCAGTACACTGACCAAAAGTCTTGAGAAAGTGTCTAATTGGTTAAACAAATCATGTTTAACACTCAACCTGAGGAAAACTAAGTCTATGTGTTTTTCGATAAGAGCTCGGACAATAAATGACCTTAACATTAAAATGAATGGCGAACTAATCGACCAGGTGGAACAAGAAAAATATTTAGGA